TTTTTGTATAAAAGTAGAAAGTGTCAGGAATATTTTGCCCAAGTTTCAAGTCGATCAAGACGAAACTATAAATATTAGAGAGTTTTATAACCCGCCGACTTTGTCATGAATTGACCGATGGCGACACTTTAAATGCGTTTTTCTTAAAACCACTTTATCGAAATCGGCAGACAAAATTTCTCAACGACTATTGAAGCGATCGAGTTCAAATTTGCCACACTTTTTTTAAGCATGTTTTTGTAGTTTCTGAACGAAGAATTTATTTTATCTTTAATTTTAACTTCTTTACAAGCCAATATGTGGCCTAATTTTATGCAAAATTTTTTTTTTTAATTTTTCTTCGTTCTGAGTAAAATTCAAAAATTACCTACTTTGAGAAAAATTTTGGATTTTTGATTTCAAATAAAAATTGAAAAAGTTATGATGAATAGCGCGAAAGCACTTTCTTGTGGACGGTCTACTTCACGACACTGTCAACGCCTTAACTTATACTATTTTTCATTCAAATTTTCAACAAATGTTGCCCTCATATTGTACTTTCATATGTAAACAAAATAAATTGTATATTTTATTTAGTATATTTTAAAAGATTTTTTAGAAAGTAAGCTATTTTTTTGGCCTTCAAGATCTTTGTAGCCCCTTAAATCGTGAATATTTCTAAAAACTTTCGACATGGCACAACTTAGCAAGGATGCATCGATGAGCTTGATTCAATATTTTGTGCTGTAGCTTCAACAAGCACCATGAAAACATTGATTTGATGAGACATTCACAGTATAATCCTGATTTGACTTCTTTTTATAACTGTATGCAAAAAATAAACTGCGAGGTCAACGTTTTTCGACACCTGAAGAAGTGTTTGATGTTTTCAGAATTCATATTTCGAAGATATTGCAGTCAGACTGGCGAAAATGCTTCGACAATTGGTTTCAACCCATGCAAGAATGTATAAGCCTTAATGGCGAATATTTTGAAGCACAATACAACGATTTTCACAGATTATTTTTGATTTTTGTGCTATAATCCAGAAATATAAAAGGCAAAACTCATGCGATGCTGTTTGCTGTTTTCTTTGATGAGTTGCCAAAAAGAAAAAAATTTTTCGCTTTATTCGGAGATTTTAATAAATTTTTGGGAAATTTTTATTTATAACTTTCTGTAGGCATTTTTTTCTTAAGTAGTGCAAACAGCAAATGCAGTATAAAATTTCTGAAAATCGGCGGCTGTTTTCTTCTTTAAGAAGTGTAGAGCGCAAATCCACAAATAAATTTATTTATGAAACTTTTTTCTTACACCCAACTCAATTTCCGAATTTATTCGAGCTTTGTGTTATTCAAATCTCACCTTGGCAGGCTCATCTCGAATCGCACTATTTTCTCCATAATGGTGTTTGCGTGCCTTGAGTGGCAGATTTACTACATTTTTATAGCCTTCAAATATCACGTTAGAAGACAAGTTATCATTGATATGCTTATATACAGTCAGTTATATATATATATATTATTATGTACAATGTATGTACACGTATGTAGCTGTATATAAAGTTATAAGCATCTGATTTACTTCTAGTAAGTTATTTGACGTTTGAATGAAGGTTTGATTAATGAAGCGTGACTACAGGTTTAGAGCAAACTACGAACACAAAAAAAAAAAACAAAAAACAAAAAACAAAAAAAAAAAAAAAAAGAAACGAAAAAAGTTGAAAATATAAGTCTACAATGTTTTTATATATTTTTTGTTGAATTTACAAAGCTGTACTCCGATATGAAAGCTGTGCGGGAAGAAGTTAAATAAGGTTCCTCAAAAAAATTACAAATTCATTTGCATATATTGACAATAATTCGATTCGCGGTGTTGTTGCGTAAGCGCTCTACATCTATTCAGTATTTATATACATATGAAGAAAGTCTTTTTTTTTTCAAAACATCTTTTCTTGAAGTTTGATCTTTATGCCAGTTTTTTCTGCTTTACTTCACCTTCTCACGGTTGCTGTATAAAAACATCAATTCATATTTGATTTTTTTTTTTGCTTGGATTAATGTTCGGACAAATGTGGGAATTTGTTGCCTATTGAGCTGAACTTTTTGTTTAAATTCATAAAGAGAAAAAATAATACTATTATACTAAATAAATCTGTTTAGCTTTGTTACTTTGAATATACCGTTCGCTCTCCGACAGTTGCTGATGAGCTGTTTATGTTCCGACAAGAGGTGTTTTGCTTTCAATAATGAAAAATTGTTTAAATGTATTTATTTCTCTTTTTTCGTAGAATTATGCTTGTTGTTGAAAAATGTGCTCTATGATTTGTTAAAAAAAATAAAATTAAAAAAATTATTTGAATGCAATAAAAATCTATGACATAAAAATATTGTAATATATTGAGCTAGTAAAAAGTAATCCATTATCTTTGGCAATAGATGATATCAGTAAATGTCGTTAGAGAAATTAAATTTTGTACTAAAAAAGTTAATTGGAGAAGTATTTATCACTTAACTCAGTATAATTTTAGCGCACCTCCAAAATAGACACCAAGAAAGAGAACATTTGGTATATTCTAAATTTTTCTTCGATAAAGGCGAAAACGCATGGCAGGCAGCTGAAAATGTGTATTTATGTTCTGATACTGTCACATACACAATCAAGCACAATTTTGGTTTCGTCGATTCCGTTTCGTTCATTTTAGGCTAATTATCGAAAATGGTTGTTGTTGAGGGGCAGTAGGCTGGTACAAACGGTTAGCCGGGAGTCGTTCACTATAAGCTGCTTCCCTACTACCGCCAAACTCTTTATTCGAACCTGTACTACCAGCAATAAAACTGCCCGATAGAAGCAATCGCCCCGTACCATCAAAGCTCAACCTGTGGGGAATTGTATTTCATCAGGACAACGTCAGATCTCATAAATCGATAGTGAATCGCCAGAATCTTACAAGCAGATTGGGATATTTTTATGCATCCGCATTATATTTCGGTCCTCGTTCGAAATTATTATTCTCTGTAGCTGTCTATGGCGTATGCTTTGGCTGGTGAAAAATTGTCCGTAAGAGAAGCCTAACAAAATCGATAGTCCCAATTTTTTGCCAATAGCACCCCGAGAAGCATAATGACTTTACACTCAATGGAGCGAAACGATGCATATTTGACATAAATCGGAATATTCTCACTACTAACTAATGGTAACTTTCGCTGTATGTTTGTAGCTGTTGAACTGTTACATTACAAAATCAGCCTTGTGCAACCCGAACCCCATAACCTTGACCAAATCAACGGCAAGGCATAAGGTGACTTTTTTACCTATTTTTGCTCCTCTCAGATCAGTAGATCTTAAAGTATTTGTAAGAACTTGCCTGACCGCCTCTAAATACTTTGAGCATGTCAAATACCTCGAGCTAGTACGCTGAATAGTTTAATGGAGTGAAGTAGCAAATTATGCGATTTACGAATACAGTTCCGATAAGATCGATTGTATTGCCGCCTTGTTGAAACTACCCATGACCCTTGTCTATTTCTTCAACATTTGGGTACAATTAATCTCTGACCATGGCACATCCTCTTTGTTTTCCAAAAAGTCCATTAACTGAATTAACCGAGTGGCTCCCCAATTTATGATGTGATTTTTTCTAAGTCGCCTGGCCGTGTCTATTGCCCAACGGTTATTGCTTTTAAGTAGTCTAGGCACTGATTGTTTGTCACTTTTCATAAGTGAATTAAAATTATAGGAAAAAGTATGATACAATAATTTAAAGGTAGTTTCATTGTCTCTTCGCTGTCGGCTTCATAGGCCCTGATGGTGGACTTCATCGAGTTTTTGTCCTTCATTATTGTTGTATTAAAACTTTGGTAAATTGTATGAAATTATCAGAGAGGGAAGAGATTCTCCACCACGCTACGCTATATATATATCTACGTTGGAACGGAAATCAGTCTCAAAATTTTAAAGATGTTTTGTAAGTAGGATTATGTTTTATAATTGTTGAGTTTTTAGTTGAGAAATCATTATAAAAACCTCATACTTTCGTCGTGTAAGTCGATTAAATTTCAATCTAAATATAAAATGAAATAGTTAGTTAAACGGGAGATTAATGATGGCTAGAGATGCAAGCTATGCTAAGCAATCGAAGAAAAATTTTCAGAGAAATCGATAACGGCCCACGCAGTCGCAGAAAAGTTGATTGAGAAATAGACCAACTTTGTACAGTGTCCGGTTAATACCCCGGTTGTTATGCTTATGGTGTCCTGTCTAGAAGGAGTTCACTTCGATTTGCTCTTGTCCCTAGTCTTCACAAATACTTAGCCAAGGAAAGAGCTATGTCTACGACATGTGCCGAGTTTATCGCGGTTATGACTATCCCAACTTGGTCAGCTCATTTACTGGCGTGTACCTATGACTACGTAATCACGTACGTTTCGCTGGTAGTTGAGTAAACCTATAAGTCTAAGTATCAAAAAAGAGTAAAAAATGTCAACTCTTTCCATTTTATTTATAATGCTTTACTCCCTTCTGGGCTCTAAGGAAAACGGCTTGCAACAAATATTTTAATAGATCCAGTGGTGCTTAGAAGATGACCCCAAAAATAATTCAAAAATCTTTATGTTCAAAAATTTTTAAGTGGCAAGATCAAACACGTTTAGTGTCAAAAATTTCGAAATGAAACTACCTTACAGAATTTTTCTATCAAGAGAAAAGTATAAAAAAAATTCTCGAAAAAATTCGAGGAAAATCTTGAGCTCCACTACAAGCTCGTTATCTTCTGCATGGTAGTACTTTTATAACAAACTACTCGGCTAATGCGGCTGTCAACAACCGACCAATAAAAACTACTATGAATTCCTTTAGAGGGAACTTCATTTATTATTGCTTCATACCTGCTTTTATGCGACCACATGTGGAATCCGAATTTATTCTACAATAAATAATTGGGCACAGAACGTAGTGTTGTACCTTGTTGATAAACATTTTATTTCATTTGTTTTTTAATACTAACTTTATTTTCTTTTCAGATTATAGAAATTCTAGTGCATGTGAATAAAATAGAAATTATCGAATACCGTTAAATTGCATAGCCAAAATTCTGCAAGCACTTGGTAAGTATACTAAAAAAGTTTCAGTCAATGCAATTGTAAAACCGAGCTGTATTATGGAAATTAAAATATATATTTTGATGAAATCATTTATCAATAATAGAGTGCATTCTTCTGCCATAGGATAACTTAAGTCTTATTTGAGGAACTTCATTAATTTATTGGATGAGTGCATAAGTTCGTGCCCGATTTCAAGTGCAAACTAAAATTGAAATTTTTTGAAGAAAGCGCTTTTATTAATCAATTATGTATTCGCCATCATGTTCGGCAATCCTCTCCCAACGTTCAACCAATTTACGGATGCCTGATTCATAGAAATCGCGCGGTTTCACGTTGAAAAAGGTGTCAAGGTGGTTTTTGACCTCTTCCACATTTTTAAATTTTTTTCCATTCAAATTGTTCTGCAGCGATCGAAACAAATGATAATCAGAAGGTGCGATGTCAGGTGAATATGGGGGATGCGGCATGATTTCCCAATTCATCTTCTTCAGTTTGGCCAGGGTCGGTTTTGCAACATGTGGCCTGGCATTGTCATGATGGAAAAGAACTCCTTTGCGATTGGCCAAAATCGGACGTTTTTCATCAATTGCTTTCTTCCTTTCGACCAATTGCTGACAATACTTGTTGACAGTGATCGTTTCTCCAGCTGGCAAGAGCTCAAAATAGATCACGCCTCGGATATCCCACCAAATGCACAGCAGTATCTTCATGTTTCCATGTTCTTTTGCGTTGAACATTGTTGTACAGGATCCATTTTTCATCACCAGTCCAAAAAAGGTTCGTTTTTGATCCGTCGAAGCGAAGAATTCGCTGTTGACATACGGTCCACTTTGTTTTTTTCACTCAACTGATGTGGCACCCATGTATCGAGCTTCAAAGTGTACCCAAACTTTTTTAAACGACGAAACGCAGTTGATTTGTTGACGTTCAATTCACTGGCAACCTCTTCCGTCGAAATACGTGAGTTATTCGCAACTAAAGTCCTTAGAACATCGTCATCAAGCTCAGAAGGCCGTCCACTGCGAGGTTGGTCTTCGAGGTTAAAATCTCCAGAACGAAATTTCGCGAACCATTTCTTTACTGTGCGGAGTGCTGGAGCACGGTCCAAATGAACTTCGCGAATATCTTTAGTAGCAGCGCCTACTGTTTTTCCTTTGCGGAATTCGTATAACATAATATGACGCATATGATCTTTTCGTTGTCCATCTTCCATGCGTCTTTTCACTAAGCAACACAAATCAAAATGAAGTTATTTTATGCTTGACTTACAGTTGAGACTGTCACCCTTCCAACGATATAAAATATGTATATATTTCTTTCACGAGCGCCACTATCAAACGATTCGAACGGCATCCAGCGGAATCGGGCACGAACTTATGCATTCATCCAATATTATCTTAATTTGAAACAGAGTTGTCAATTTTACGGTTGTCACACAGACTGCGATCGACTACGAGAAATTGAGTGAAATTATTTATGCTGTAATTACTCCTCTTACATACCGCACAGCCATAACACCCGACTGTCATAGAATGTACAAACACGAGTATTTTCTGCGGGACAACGGTCGGTAACGTCAGCGACAAGTAGTGACAACTTTTCGTTTATATGCCGCTCACATAAGATAGTTTGCTATGGGCGGAAGGTACGTAAGATGAGTACGAGTAGTTGCAGCATTACGCTCCCAATAGCATAAGCACCGCAAAATAAGCAGGCCAGGTTAGCATACGAACTGACCAAGTAGAAGGTCCAGTAACAAGTAGGCCATTAATTTAGCATCAGATTGAAGGATTTATTTATCGTTGTTAGAGTTATCCGATTTATATCAAAGAAGCATAGTTTTGCTCGATAACTTTTTGTCTCTTGTCTGTATTGAAAAAAAGCTGAGACAATCGATTTTCACAGGCTTCTCTTGAGACCAAATCACCAGCCAAAACTTTCTCCATAGACAGGAAGTGCTGGTAATCACTTGGTGCAAGCTCCGGACTATAAGTTGCATGCATAAGAGCCTCATAACCCAAATAACAGAGCTTATGGCGAGTCACAAGCGATGTTTGTGTAATCTGGCGTTGTCCTGATGAAGCACAATTCACTACCAACTGTAGCCCAAAGCTGTACGCTGCGGTGCGTTTGCTTCTTTCAGACGCTCCAATTAATGGTAATAATAAATCGAAAAAAGAGTCTGGCCGTAGGGCAGCAGCTCATAGTAGACGATTCCTTGCAAATCTTATCAAGCACACAACAAAATCTTCATGACAGTCCGTATGTGCCGGCTCACTGCACTTCGTCCATAATTGTTTTCATTTGACATTTTTCCAAGTCTTCTTCTTTCAGCGCCTATTCGCAGATGGAAATTCGCTCCATGAGTCATCTATTGCATAAATAAAGGATTTCTTTATAAGACTTAATATTAAAATCAACCGCTTGCTTCCTAAGCACTTTGAGGAATGAATCGATAGTGTGACGAAAGCAAGGCGACAGCTGATTTTCTAACAGGGAATAACGGCACCCCTGAAAGCGCAATCACAGAGCTCTATCACTCGTACTATGTACATATGTACGCACTTCAAGTTCAAATCATTTCGAACTCTAAGAAACTTGAAACTGTTAAAGCATTGCCAACCGAAACCGGTTAACATCAAGCAAAGAGTTGAAAAAAAAAAATATAATGTTTTTTTTTTGCAGATTCTAATACAAAAGGCAACAACAAATGTTGAATTTGGGTGGGCAATAGCAAAAGGAAGCAAAATAAATAGTAAAAAAGATGACTTTTTAAAATTGGTATAAAATAAAATTCGTAGAATTCAACTGAAAACAACACCACAGCACCACAACACTGCCTTAATATGTATGTATGTATGTATGTATGTATGTATGTATGTATGTATGTATGTATGTATGTATGTATGTATGTATGTATGTATGTATGTATGTATGTTTGTAAGTGTGCAGCAAAACATTCCTTTGTATCGTTTACTGCTTTATCTTCGAATGCTGACTGAGTTGTTAGCTATGAAATACGCACTTACATACATATTTACATGTAAGCACATTTTATATATGTATGTACATACATACGTAAATATTATATAAATCGTGAAGATACCAAAAGAAATTTTGATACTTGCAAACGCCAAACTTGACAACATGGCTTGATGAAGTTGTGTTGTTGCTGTTGCTGTTGCTGGTGATGATGATGAGTTGCTGTACTGCGTTATTGGGTTGCCGCAACATATTGATTAGATCATAAATTTCGATTTGCCTTGAGTGCTACTATGTCGCTGTGTCTCTACGTCTCTTTATATTACTATTTATCTATTTGGCTTTTTCGCTGTCCTTAGATACTTTTGTTATGTTTTTTTTTCATAAAATGGTATTTTTTCTTTATTACTGAGATGGCATTTGGCTCAACGCTTTCTGTAGCACCGCTTGTTGTATTCTGTATATTGTAAAATATGTACATACATACACGTTTGAATGAGAGAGTTTTCTTATATAGGGTTAAACATTTCGTAGTTTAAAAAGTACAGAGTTGTTTTTTTTTACATCTGTCAACCTAAACTGACAACCCAAACATGTTTTGTCTCAGTTGAAAATTGGGCATTTATGGAAATGTATCACCCAACAACCGCATAACGTGCTAAAATTGTTGAAACCCACAACAAAAATGGTGATTCAAACGTTTTGTGCTGTAAGTGGAGATTATGGTGCACATTACCGTGAAACAATAGGTAAAGTTTTCAATAAATTTAGAGCGACTGGAATACCGGCAGATATTGTAAGGCTTGTGCATCATCGGTTTGATCGCTCCACCTCAAATATGGCTACTGTAGGTGAATGTGAGGCCGAAGACCCGAAGCTTCGAATGTGTCGATTTCTCAAAGTGTTCAAGCGTTGGGGCTTTTTTACTCTTCATTTTGACGTATTTTGCACTTGGACTTACACCTACATTCCGACAAAGTCCAGCTCACACAACAACTAAAGTCGACTGAGCGTACAAACGTCGATTGAGTGCTCGAACAAGAATCAGTGGACTGCGATTTTTCGAAACATTCTTAAAATTTTCTTCAGCGACGAGCCACATTTTCCCACTTGGGGTATACGAAAAAAGTAAAATTGTTGCATTTATTGCAGCGAGAAGCTTCAAGTATTTGAAGACAAGCGAGTGACACCAAAAAAAAAAAAAAAAAAAAAAAAAAAAAACAAAAAAAAAACAAAAAAAAACAAAAAAAAAATAGATTGGGTTTAACTTTTCTGAAAAAAGGCGTCACTATCACTGCATTATACAGGGTGCTCCATCTTTTATGTCGGTATATAAACATTGAATAATTTTGAGAAATAACAACCGATTTCTAAAAGTGATGCATTTTTATTCAGTTTGGTTCCTTGCATTTTTCTTTGGAGTGATTTTTGAAAACAATATCAAGAAAGTGGCCACCTTTATTAGCAATTATAAAATTACTCCTTTTCTCTGGGTTTGCCATTACCTTTCCGAGCATCTCGGGTTTTATAGCGTCGCATTCAGCACTAATGTTTGCCTTGAGCTCATCAATAGTTTGAGGCTGGTTGGCTGCTTTTCAGATAACCTTACAAAAAGTAGTCTGGTGTGGGTTAAATCAGGTGATCTGGATGGCCAGTCAATGTCGCCACTTTTTGATACCAGAGGTTTTTCCGATATTTACTTTGAGTTAACACAATGGAACGACTGTTTGCGATGTACAGTGTCATTGATTTAGCGCGTTGTTGCGGTGTGAAGCGATCCATGGCGAAAATTTTACTGAATTGACGTTTCCAAAACATACATTTTTGATGTAATCGCGGTCGTATCGGTTGGTAACAGTAACATAAAAGATGAAGCACCCTGTAGTTGTATGAACACCAATTTTTTTGGCCTGCCATTAAAGAACATGACTTCGATAATATGTGGTTCCAACAAGATTTTGCCACATGCCACACAACTTAAGCGAATATGGCTTTATTGCGAGGGAAATCTTTCAGCCGTG